ACAAAGTATAAAAAGTATTAAGCTAAATAAGTAGGTAGTAGTTATAGTAATAGTAAGAGTGCGTTAAAGAGGGTGCAAGGAGAGCGGTAGTATAGGCGTTGCAAGCAGACTAGATACAACGCTTATACCTGCGTAGTTAAGATAGATAGTATAAGTAATAACGTATTCCATCACCGAGCGGGCCACATCACCGAGTGTGCCACTTTTTCTTGGCATCACGAACTTCATGTACGAAAACTTAGATTACTCTACACTAGCTATAGATGCTTCGTACGACTTACTTGTATCTAAAAGAGAATCTTCTTCTACATCTTTCTAGCACGTACGAGAGTTATAGCCTGTCCTCCCACAGGTTCTACAGTGCCGTTGACCTAGTAGGGCCCTTTCTTGACTACCCTCACCACGTGCCTTCTTTGATGTCGTACGACCAGCAGAACTACTTTTAGCTACCTGCGATGCCCCTGCACCAAAGTCTAGTGTCCCACCTGTCTGAATTCGCTTTCTTTTGCGCCCTTGGCGCTTTTTTACTGCTGCTAATTGCTCTTTAAGCTCTCTTACGCGGGCCTTTATAAGCACATTCTCATGTAGCATCTCCTCAGCCCCTTTAATAAGCTTTAAAAAGCCTTCTTATGCAGTAGTTAGCGATCGTACGAAAGACTCTCTTACAAGCTTTAATTGTGACCCAAATTCATGCAAATTACTTGGTGTTCTTAACGTCTAGGGTATTTCTAGCTAAGCTTCTTATAGTAGAGTATAAAGGCGTACGTTAAGGCGATCAATAACTCTCTGCGCGTCGATAGGGACTAGCCCTGCTGCCTTAAAGGCCTTCTTGCAGTTATCAGACGTAAACACGTTAAAAACGCGTCTCAAAAGGCTAGAAGGAAGCGCTCCTTATTAATATGCTAGACATAGTAGCGTGCCAAGTCTCGTACGCGTTAAGAGTACTTCTGCTTAAGAGGCGAAAAGCAGACAACGTTAAGTGGCTGAAGTATGTGCGATAAATGAGCAGGCATACAGAGGGTAAGGATCTTTCGTACGAGGCAGTAATCCTTAAATTCTTAGTTAAGGTGGCTCTCATGGCCGTCAAGGATAAGTAGCCTGTATAACCCCACCTGACGCGTCTTTATATGCTCGTCAAAGTGCTTTAACCACGCGAGACTAAGCTCATTGTTCGTCCAGCCGTTCTCTGATACTGAAAGCTTCTAGTCGTACGGTATATCCGCTTCTTCGTACCATGCAGAGATGTGGATGCGTCCCTTGTAGATAATGAATAGCGGGGTAGCGTATCCCGTAGCGCAGATGCTCTAGATGACTGTAACCCACTCGCGATTGCCTGGCTGCGTGAGAGTAGGCCTCGTACGACGCTCTGCGCCTATGACTACCTTCATTGAGCCAATTACGCCCATCTGAAAGCCAGTTTTATCAAAGTTATGGATGTCGTCTAAATGAACTCCATACTTCTCAACTGTCTCTCGTACAAGCTTGAACCACGCGTTAATAATCTCTAGATCCTCTTGTTAAGTTCTCTAACGATCCTTTGCTCGACTAAAGGCTGTTCTAAGCTCGTCTGTACGAGTAACGAACCGCTCTGCCCAGCATTTGCCTAAAGGCTCGCCATCTCGTTCGCGTAGTAGTTTCTCCGCCATATCTGCTACTTCACATAAACGGGGGGCAAATCCTCGCGAGTCTAGGTTAAGAATATATCGTACGATAGTTTGCTCTTCAGACTTAGTTAGCTTCTAGCAATTTAGCTGTGTTGTAGGTCGAAAGGTGATTCCTTGAAGCCGCTAAGAGATCTGCTAATGATGGACGTTGTAGGCTGCTGCAGCGCGTCAAATGCTCTTAAACTAGCCTGTACGATAGGCCTAAACAGCTAGAGTAAGCCTACCTTCTTGCTAAGTTAATATCGCGTTCTGTTGTTGGGGCATTATCTTTCGTACGTGAAGTTCGTGATGCCAAGAAAAAGTGGCACACTCGGTGATGTGGCCCGCTCGGTGATGGAATACGTTAGTAGCAATTTTAATAATAAATTTAGTATATCATAATAGTTTATTAACTATAATAAAAAAACTATAATAACGTGTTAATGTAGATGTAGTGGTGGGGCGTTAGCGACTCGCTTGGGTTAGTGACTCACTTGTGAACCACGTTATGCAATTGGGGGATGCGTATATGTTTCGTTTCACCATTTGTGTCATGGAGAAAGCACTCTTTTCATGATGCAACTTTTTTTTTCTTCCAGATTCCGATTGGAGCAATCATGCAAATATACAAATGACATCTTAGAAACCAGATCTCAGTATATTTTGAGCGCAAATGGAAAAGGTCGGTTGAGTATCTAGATGGGTGGATGT